CCCCAGCACAGAGAACAAGAGGGAGGCAGGCTGTTCTCAGTAGTGCCCACTGACAGGGTGAGAAACTCACACTGGAACACCACACAAAAAACTTTTTTTTTTGTTTTACTGTGAGAATGCCCAAAACCAAGTCAGTTGTGCAGAAAGGTGGTAGAATCTCACTCCACGGAGATATCCAAACCCAACTGGACACAAGCCTTGGCAACCTGTGCTAGCTCACCGACCAATTTCATTGATTCTGTGAAATATTTCCTGTTTCCTCAAATGCAAAAAGAGACACTGCTGCAGAAAGCTTGATGTGTGGGATAGGAAGGCAAGGTCACAAGCTCCTTCAGTGAGGGACTGGAACTGTGCTGGAAAGACAGAGCTGGTCATCTGCTCCCTGGCAAGAGCCTTCCAGATTCATTAAATACATTGTGTACAGTGTCTGTTCCACCACTGATGAACAATTTTGCTCTGTTTGTTTCTCAAAGCGACACTTAAAATCTTGCTCATATTTTTTTAATCATTCCAATTGGCAGCCTCTGAGAGTGCCCTTGGTATTATCCAGCAGTGACTGAATGATTCCTATTTGCTGTGAAGGTGACCTGCAAAGCAAAACATTTTTCCCCATCCTGCTTCTTTATAATGTATAAAGAAACCAGAATTATTATTAATTTATTTTGGTTTTTCAGCACCTCTTTTCCTGCCTAATTTTTGACCTCAGAACCGTAAGGTTATCAAGTCACAGCTGTGGGTAATGGAAGCACCACTCTCTGAGCTTTCTGGGGCTGTAGTCTCACACAAACAGGAGCTCAGGGACTTTGATGCAGGTGTGTCTTCATCCTCAAGAGCTTCCAGCAAATACCCTGGAACAATGGATAGGCCTGGAAAAGGAGCTGGGATGCCAGGACAGCAATATACATTACAAAGATAAGAGAGAGGCATATTGGCAATATCTAGGGTTCCTGGTCTTAAAAAAACATTGAAGAGCCCTGACTGCATGAATGAGTTACACTGAGAGCACCCAAACTTTGCTCCTGCTGTTCACAGCAGTAACAGGGAGCACGTCCAATAAACTGTGACTGCAGCCAAAGCTTGAGCCCTTCCATCACTGAGGGAGTTGGGTGTCTCTGAGCCACTCAGTGTCTTACCACACAGACCAAATTTAGCCCACAGTGAATGCCTACAGCAAGGGTTCCACTGATGAAGCTTAAATCATTTCCAAGCTCATTTGCTTGCTGCAGAACATTTTTCTTCTGTGTGAAAGATGCAAGTGTTTCTAGGATGAGATCCACAGGGAGGTTTCAGTCCAAAGCAGAATCAGGGTTGAGTTGCTAAAAGAGTTCTCAGCAGCTGAAGCCTGGCACAAGTCCCATGCATCTCAACAGGGCTGGGATTTCACCCTCTGGCTGCAATGGAGCTATGCCAGCAGAGACATTGCTCCAAATTCCCTATTTCTGTCACTTGCTCAGTATTCAGTGCTACTGGAGTCCCAAAGTAGATCTTCCCACAAGAAATCTGCCAGCAAGAGCAAAAGCTAATGTGTAATATTTTATTGTATACATAGATTAAAAATGTGCAGATGCCTGCAGATGCCACCTTTCACCAAGCCTTACCAGCCCGTTGCCATATGTCTGACAAGCCCCTAAATTAAGCTACAGGTTCAGGTTTATAACACTGATGACACTACAGCTCCCTAATGGCACATCAGTGAGTGTTTAACAAGCTGGCAGCCAGCCTGGCAGCCTGGAGACCCCAGCAAACAGTAGTTTGGTGTCTTCAGCATCTCAAACACACCATATTCTGCCTATTCAGGGTCAGTATTTCCCCAGGAAAATAGGAGTGATGCCTGGGAATGACACACAGGTTTGAGAGGAACTTCTTCCAGAAGTCAGAGGGGCAGGTGCATTGGGGAATCCCCACTCTGTTGGGGTCCTGTTCTCTACACAGGAGCACAGCCAAACTGCCTCTGCCCTCCTGCCTCCTGCAGGGTGCCTGAAGCATGAAGGTGCCAGGATTTCAGGCAGCTCCATCCACCTCCCTAGCTGTTAGCTAGGAAAGCTGAGTGAGTATCAGGACACTGTAAATACCACAGGACGAAAAAAAAGGGCAAGCAAACAATCAGAATTCACAGCATTCTTAATCTTTCCAGAGGAGCCGTGTGCTCTTGTGGCTGCACTAATGTAGCCTTTTCTTCCTGGGTTCCACACATTTCAGCACATTTTCATCTGAGAACCCAGTCCTCCAAGGTAGTTTTGGAAGTTATTCATTTCCGTCTTTTGGTGAATCCCTCACACATCAGTCAGATGACTTACATGAAATCACTGATGTGGGGCAGTTCTAGGTCACCTTTCCTGCTCAGCTGTGAATCAGACCCAAATTCCTCTGGGTCTGGCTTTGCCCCATAGAGATGGAGAGCATAGGAGCTGGTGCCTCTTCATCTTTTCCACTAGGGCTCAAAAGGACAGATCTCAAAGCTCACTACCACTCACAGCTGCTGTTGCTTGAGTCTCTGGTGAGTGCTTTAGCAAAACCCTGACCTCTCAGCCTTGCACTTTCATCAAAGTGATCTTTAGTGAAAAGGTTTAACAAGTGCAGATGAGGGGATTAGCACTTTTCCACTGTACCTGTGCCAAAATAACCCACACAGTTCACTGGGACTCTAGTCACAGTCACCTAAACCAGTTCAGTAACTCCTGCTTCCACAGGGAAAATAGGTACCAGCTTTATGCCAACAGAAGTGTGGAGTGATCCCTTAAACTGCCCCACTGCCAGGGCTGATAGAAGAGACAAACACTTCAAGTTGGAGAATGAGGGCAGTTCCAGTGGGACACAGGCTCTGACAAACCTCTGCTGTCCCGACTGAGCCAAGTTCCTTGTTTCACACAGGACAGTCAGCACTGGGAAGTTGTCTGAAGTGGCTCAGAAGCCCTTCAGGTGCCTTCAAGGTGAGCCCTTTTAGCCAGGGGAGGCACCATTTCAGAAGGCTTTGCAAATGCCTTCTCCTTTTGCCATCCCTGTCTCTTCTAGGAGTGATTCCCGCAGTCCATGAGCTTGTCCCATGGCACCCCTGTGGCAGCAGTGTGTTCCTTTGAGGATGAGAAGGATCTTGTACCTCCTTGCAGTGCAGGAAGGGTTTTGCATCTTACCTCTTCTCCAGTGCCTGGGGGAGGTATGCAGACACACCACATCACCCGTCTGCCGTCTGGCTCCACAGAGCCTAATGGGCTGGAAGTTCAGCCTTGTTCTTGCATCATCTATTGCTGACCTTCAAAAGAAAAATAGGGGATTTGTGTCCAGGAAGGAGGCTTTGAAAATTTAATTTGGTTTGGATTTACTTTTTGAGATAGGGATTTGTGTTTCTTTTCTATATTCTTGTTTCTTTTTTTTTTTTCCTGTAGCAGCATCAGCTTCTTTCTGAAAATTTGGTGGTGACCTTAACAATATGGGCTTCTGCCTTTCTCAAATCTTAATGAGCATTAGGGTGTGTTAAAGATGGGAAAAGCCCCGACCTTCTCACAGGTGTGTTCCCTAGGCAGAGGAGCCACTTTGCTCACGCTGCCACAGAGCTGGCTGCAGGTGCCATGACCCCCACCCCGCCCAAGGCTGTCACCAGCCCTTCCCTGGCCTGCCAGCAGCGCTGTGTGTGTGACAGCTGCATTCCTGTGCGGCAGACAGCGCGCCTTCCCTGCCTGGCCAGGCACAGACAGCTCCAGCACCTGGTGCAGGGAGGGGGTGCGGTGCAGGGATGAGTAACTGCGGGAACATCGGCCCTCCCCTCGGCGCTGTGCAAACAAGGCAGCCGCGCTGCCGGGGATGTGGCTCACAGCTGACAGGCACCAGGCACCCAGCAAGCTCCTATCTGCACAAGAGCATGTAGACACAGCCTCGCTTGTTTAGCTCTGTGTTAACAGCAAAAAACAAATCCTAAGTGGACTAAACAAATCTCATCGTGGCAAAGTGCTTCATCAATTACTAATTCAGCCTCTGGCAGACTAATAGGGAATAAAGCTGTTTACCTCAGAGTATGACACATTTTTCTTTTTTGTCTTCTCCCTGTGGCACCTGTAGATAGATTCTGCTGTGCAAAGCTTTGTGTCAGTGACTAATGAGCAACAATTGCTGCAGAATTCTATAAGCTGCATATCATCACTGCTATTAAAGACATTAGGAGAAGCTCTAAGGATCATCCACCTGGGCCAAAAAGTAAAAAAAAAATGTTCTTTCAGGACATCAAACCTGATGATGCAGCACATTTCAAGTGCCACTGTCAACAAGAGAGGTTTTGTACCACAGCTTTTGTATTTTCACTCCCATTTTCTGACCATACATAACAACAACCTTCCTGTCCAGGTGGGATAACAAAGAAAATTATTCCATCTGAAAGCCATGAATATATATGAAGTAAAATGCGTACTCCAAGTGGTCCTTTGGAATGAGCACCCCTGGGAAGGTACTGTTTGAGACCAAGTTGTAGTTTGGGATCTTTTAAAAGGAGTTAGAAAAAGCCTTACTCACAGTGATGTTTGTAGGTCACCATTTGACTGCATCCTGTGCTGTTGCCCCATGTTGTGTGAGGTGTGGGAGGGAAAGGAAAAATAAAGAGAGTACAGTAAAACCTTCTTAGGGCTTCCTGATAACAGACAGTTCAGGGACACAGGTTCCCAGATATTCCTGAATAATCCAGACAGGGCAGCACAGAATAGGACCATGCAGCCAGAGAGTTACTGGGCAACAGGCATTGCACATTGAATTAAAACACAGCTGAAAGGCACATGCTCAGGAGGGGCAGCACAGCCTGGTGATGTGGGCATGGCACACACAGGGACAGAGCTGAGGTGAGCATGGCACAACAGGGACAAGGAAGAAAACAGAGCCATCAAGAGCATGGCACACACAGGGACAGAGCCAGCCAGCTCTGTAGGATCCCACAGCAACCCCAGGCACAAAAGCTGTGCAACAAGCTCTCGGGTTACCTGTGCACGTCATCAGCCTCAGAGTAGCTGGGTGAACATTCCCTCCTGGCATCCTACACCTGCCCACAGGTTAACCTTTAGAGGCCTCATTTAGGTCTCCAGGAGATCCTGCAAGAAAACAGTGTCAGTGGAGTAGGCACCAGGTACTGAAAGGGGATTTTACCCACCAAATCAATCTGTATCCATTGTCTGAATGACTGCAGGTTCACTTCAGGAAAGAGGAATGTGATTCCTCACTGGCACTGCTGGGGAAATGTTTAATCCCAAGCCATCAGATGCCTTCATTGCTTTCATTTAAAGGGTTTGCCAACTGGGTGCATTTCCACTGTTGTAAAACTAGTACTACAGGAAATAATTATTGTTTCTGTTCTGCTGGGTCTCCCTGACCACTAAAAGGCTTTAGTAATAGTAAAGTATAAGTAATGCCTTCATGCAGCAAGTCACTCCATTCCCTTCCTGTTACTATTAGATATGTACAAAGGAGAGCTGTACAATTAGATATGTACAAAGATTTGGTTCTTGTATGGACTAATTTTTTGTGTCTTTTTAGCCATTAAGATGTTGGTGCTGCCCAGAATACTTTTTGATGAGGTTACATTTAAAGCTTTTCTAAGAGTCTCATCTTTTCTACAGAGTAGTATTAGAAACTAGCATATATTTTCTGCAAAAGAATAATTAATTATTGCAATTTAGCTTAACAAGAAAACACAAATAAAGTCTTATATAGCCAGAGGATCAAAACCTGCAGTTAATTCAGCTTGCAGTTGTATTACCTGTTGGTGCCATAGTTTCATTATGTTCTCCAGGCAAGCCAGACAATACCAAAATCATAGCACACAAGAAGGTTATTTTGTATTACAGATATTTCATTACTGATAAAATTAATAGTATCTCATACCCATTTACATCTTCCATAGATGCTTCCACAGGAGGCACATCATCTGTGCCTTGTCATTTAGTCATCCATCCCTTACGACAGAGCTTCAGCTGCTGTGGTGCAGAACTGAGAGCCATCAACACCTCAATAACACAGTTCAGTAACCCCCCTAAGTTACATCCTGATTCATGTCAGATGCCCTGTAAAAGAAGATACATAGTGACACACATCATGAGTATTTTTGTACAGCTTTTCCATATTCAGGCTCATTTTTATCTTGTGTTAGTTATATCAAGAGTTTTTGAAAGTTCCTATAAGCCAGGCTTTAACCAGATGTTAATTTCAGAAGCTTGATGGCACCATTCTGGTTTTGAAATCCAGCCCTATATTGGAACTATGATGAGACTCTTCAGTCTATGTGTTACATTAAGAAACCTCCCCATGGCATTTGTCAGCCTAGGTACCAAGGACCATGGAGCAATACCCAGAGCTCATTGCTGGTCAGAGTTTGTTTAGTCTGTCAGAGACCTTCTCAGCTCTGCCTCTGTCGTGGATGCTCAGCCCCAGGAAACCCAGCTGAATTGCCAGCAGTGGGAGCCACCCCTGCAGCTCCCCTCAGCCTTCTCAGAAGCCTGCAGGGCAAGGGAGCTCCTTTCTGATGGCCTCCCTGCACACCCGTGGAGCCACAGCGTCATTTCCCTTCCTGCTGTTTAATTTTCCAAAATGCTTCTGTGCCAACACAACTGGGTTTCTTTTCCAGCCAGATAAGAAGTGGCTTTTCCTACTGCAATGTGTTCCCTTCCCTTGAGTTAGGAATTGTGACCTTTACATACATTTCTTTATCCCAGTCATGTTGCTGTATTTCTGAACAAGAATATCAGTAAATCCTGAATGTTATGAAAACCCAGCTAAGCACTATTGTATTACCCATTCCAGGTTTCTCTCCCAAGTTTTTATGCTTCACCTCTGCACTCAGTTCAGAGTGGTGGTCACTACCCCAGAGATCTCAGCTTTGCAGCTTTCCTTAATTAGCAGGTAGCAAAGCAACACATAATTAGCCATGAGTGTTGTCTGTTTTCAGCCAAATGATGCACCTGTGGAGGGTGCAGGGCATTCACGTGGAGCATATGTCACACAAGCCACTCCATGCTGGCATTACAGCCATGCAGGCTCTTCCTGGGAGAGCTTACCAAGCTACCCAAGCCCTCAGCAGAGAGCTGTGAGACACTCAGAGCATCCTTTTGATAGCCACCCTCTAATTTCATGGGCTGGATCTGGCATGGAGGTACCTGGGCTGCGATTTGCAGACCAGGTGAAGGGGCACGTCAGAAGACTCAGGCTTTGTATCAGCCATCACTCCCCTGAGCTCTGTAGCAACACTCAAAACACTGGCAGGAAACCCGCTGCTAAGGCTGCATCCTGCAACTGAAATCAGCAGTGGTGGCTGATGCAAAACTCTGGCTTTCTTTCATGTCAAGGCCCAGGAATGGGAAATACTAACTTTTACCACAGCTTGAGCAGAGATATGTCAAAACAAAACGGTTTCAGGTCAATGATAATTTAATAATATTCCTGCAGTTTGTCAAATGGAATAAAAAAACTCCCCAAACCCGTTGATTTTGGTTCAGCTTGGAATTAGCAGGTACCTATCCAAGCTGGCAGAGTACTTCATAGGAGCTACATTTAAATTATTTCATGTCCCTGTTCTCCTACATGGACCATGTTCCCCCCTTTAATTTCCAATCCCACTGTCCTCCCTCACCCAGTGACAGGGCCTCCTGTGGTTTCCTTGGCTACAACACAGCCCAGGAGTCTCTGCCGCAGAGGAAAACTGAGAACACAGGGTATCCAAGCCACCAGTTCCCATGGACACTGCCACTCCTTAGGCAGGGGACTTCTCTTGCTGGCTGACCTGGCAAACACAGCCCCAGCATTGCAGAGCCGTGATCTTTTTCAGCAAGGAAAACACCTCACCTGGGGCAAATAAGTGTCGAAGTACCACAGTTCTCCATGGGACAAAACTTGTTGGTACCAGCTCTCCTGCCAAAAGCCCGCTCAGCCCTGTCCAGAGGAGTCAGCAGGGAGTGAAGGCTGCCCTGCACGAGCCCTGTCAGCAGCAAAAGGGACAGGCATCAGCAGTGACCAGGAAAGCAAAGTAAAAACAAAACCCCCAACATAATCTGACATTGAATGCCAGAAAACCATCAGTGGAGCTTTCCTGGGCTTCCTTATCAGCCCTGACAGTTTTGCACAATCACTGCCAGCCTGTGCACTGCATGGCAGTGCCCCCAGGACTGCCTGGCCCCCACTGCACAGCTGTGCTGGCCCAGCAACCAAAGGGTTCGTTGTGCTCACAGGGCTATCACCTGTTTGAAGAATCATTCACTAGACACCAGGTATTTTCCACAGCTGGTAATTAAACTGATTTGGACATCCAAAGGGCAGTTCTCTTGCCAAAGTGCAGCAGCTCCTGGCAGCCAGCCCTCCCAGCTCTCCTGCATCCTGCTGTTGCCATGGCAGCACGCAGGATGTGCACCTCAGTGCTTATTAGGCTCCAGGAAGCATTTCCCATGTGAGTTGGGCTGCACAATCACAGGCACAGAACTGTTAAGCCATCATGGTATGAAAATTAGCCATGGCCACAATTACCCAAAACTTGAAAAGCTGGAAGAGCACTCATCTTTGTGCATTGGCTGTCCCCATTTAAGGCTTTATCTCTTGACTTGCAAAACACTCCAATAAGCTGTGTCTGCTAGAGGTAAACAGACATCCTTTATGTTTCCTCTCCTCTCCTCTCCTCTCCTCTCCTCTCCTCTCCTCTCCTTTTTCCCCCACATGCAGTGTTTATTCTGCAGTTAGAAAGGAGATTCATCTGCTGGGGCTGTTGTAGCAAACCCTTGGAATTGCCAGCAGCAAATATAAACTCCAGTGTGACCTCCTGGGTCTGTAAAGCCTGTTGCCCTCAATCGTACTCTGCTGGTTTAGTTTTTTAGGATTCCACAGATGCCAAAAGTAATCTTAGTTTACATTAAGTACAGGCAGGCCAAAGACACTCTGCTGAAGCCAAGAAAACTACTTGGACAAGTAGAGGACTCCTCTTCCTGGCAGAGAAAGGATTACTGCTAGAAATAGGGATTAAAAGACTGAAGCCATCAGACTGTCTCTCTTTTGCTGTGTCAGGTTTTGATTATGTAAACTGGCCACTGGAGCTGAAAGCCTCCCAGGATGGCGTTTCCTGGAGATCACAGCCCCACCTATGTTCACCCAGGATTACACTTGGGGCTTTTAAAGTTTTTGTCATTTTGGAGGACACCCAGGCCTAATTACAGTAGGGACTGGGGGCTGCCAAAAGCACAGAAGTTGCTCATAAAGTCTTCATACTGTAATATTGCAAAAGTGGCCTGCTGAAGCTGAGCAGTTGGTCTGGGCTCTGGCTCCCCACAGAGGGGCGTATTAAGGAGTGAGGCAGTGACAAAGCACAGGTGGCAGTGACCCTTTCACGGCTGTCACAACACCCTGCATAGAATAGAATGTGCACTAGCTGGCTGACACAAGGGTCCTCGGTCACAAACAGGTGCAGGGTGACCCAGTTTGTTAATCTGAGACATTTGCAGCAGGGGGGAACACTGCCATGTTGAGTCATGTCACACAGCCACTGCTTTTGCCCAAGGACTTGGCTACAGTGTAGGATGCTGCCCTGCCTCCTGCTTATTAGCTGGGACACAGGGAATTTTGCCCAGATCACAGCCTGGGAGTGTGAGATAGAGTGGCTCTGATCCCTTTCTTTGCTTCTTTCCTAATTTCAACTACAAGCAAGTCTGCCTTTTACAATGCATCAGTCACCAGTGAACTGTGGTCTCCTGTGTAGTGATGGACATCAGAGCCCCGATGTCTGTGCTGGATGAGGGCTACCTCTGGGTAGGACTGTCCTGCACACATTGCCTCGGTCCTGGTTTTTCTCTGGCCATGCACAATGCTCCTAGGGAGGACCTACAGCCTGTTAAAAATTGCTGTGCTGGCAGAAGCCACAACCTGTGTGGGATGGGGAGGGGCGATGGGGAAAAGGTCCACACAGGGGCAGAGCTAAAAGCCTTTTCCTAAGAGCCTCCAGCAACAGCAGCATTTCAAACCCCCCACCTATGTGCAAGCTGATATTTCAGTGCCTGCAGGTTGCTATGGACAACCAAAGATTTCTAAATTGCAGAGCCCCAACACTCTGTGCACTGCAGCAACGCTTGGCATGAGCTCCATGCTGGAAAGTCAGGAGCTGTTACCATGAGTTCCATGGTGGAAAGTCAGGAATACTGTCCCCACTTTTCAACTGAAGATGCAGAGGGTCCCATCACTATGAGATGAAACCAATCCCTCAGGTAACCCCCACCCATTTAAATGCTCTAACACCTGAAATCACCTCCTCAAATATGCAGCCCCTTCAGACAGCCCACACAATAGCAGGGGCAAACTGTGTGGAAGCAAATCACTGGGAAGAGAGATTGTTCTGGAGGATGACAGGGGAATTAATGAGGGGAAAGATCCATGGGGTCAAGTTCCCCATGCATGTAATCCTGGCTGCAGAAATGGCAGCTCTGAGCTGACTGCACACCTGACCTGCAGGTGGGACCTCTCCTTTGTAAAGGGCCTGCCACAGCATGCACCAAGGCTTGTGTTTCCCTGGGCACCCATTCCCCTGGGAAGAGGAGTGTCCTTCCCAGCCAAACAGAGGTGTAACAGGGCTCCTCTTACACACAGCAAGAGAGAGCCATGATGAGGATGGGACAGGATGCAGAGCCTCTAAGGTCCCCCCCATCCATCCAGCTGGCATCTACCTTGTGCAGCCCATCCTCACACAGTTTCAGGAATGAAGAAAATACACCCACAAGTTCTTTCTTTGGATCCATCTCATGAACATTAACTAGGTGTTATTAAAGCTGTGCCTTCTGGATGCAGGGGTGCTGTTGCCTGCAGTAAGAGTAGGGGAAACCAGGTAGAGCAAAATGATCTGCTAACATCATGCAGGAGGTCTGTGGCAGAGTTATGGCAGACTTGGGGCTCCCGAGCCTGCTGCAAGCATTGCAGCTTCTGTCAGGACCAAGATAACTATGAAATGTAGTTACCCCATTTTAAAAGGGTGCAAATCCCTGTACAATCTACAGTCACAGAAACTCACCTCCCACAATCTCTTGCCACAAGCACAGAAATGCACTTTCATTTGGTCTAAAATGAAAACTGTGATAGAGAAGTATACAGAATAGTTAGTGAAAGTACAATCTGAACCATTATTTGGCTTGGCACAGGGAAAATGTCAAGGGAAAAGATCTAGGAGTAGGTTTTGCTTATCCTACTCCATCTATACTCAATGCATGTCCTCCTCTCTCTCAGCTGATCTGCAAAGTGCCACCTAATTTATCTTCCCACCAACACAGGCACAGAGAGCGCACCTCCATGATTAATGGACTTTTACACTCGAGGAGCTGGTTACATTGCAGCAGACAATGAGAAATTTGATTACTGCTAATACGATATTGACACAAATGTCAATGCTCTGAGACACACAATATCATTTTGAATCAAGGATCCCTTTCATCATTGTTATTTTTGTTTGCTTCTTCCATTTTAATAAGCTGTTGCTCTGTGTGTTACCCAAGTACTCCAGACTAAAACTACCTGGGGACAATTTAGTTTTCATCTAACACTTCATTAAGTAGGAGGCACCTTTAACAAAAAGGTGTTTGTGCTCACATAGCCCCGTTATCATTTAAATACACAATGCTCCAGCTGAAAACTGTGGTCAGCTGATGCCTTTACTTCAGTGATAACTAATCTGTTGTATCAAAGTCAAATATAGCAGAAAGTGAGAATAATGGCTTTTTCTTTTTTTGTCTCTGGAGAATTGTACTGATCAAATCAGCCAAATCTTGACCAGTCAAAAATCAAATTAAGCGTGGCAATCGTGTCATGTAGCCAAACAACTGAGGCAGTCAGAGCCACAGGTGGGATCTCTCCTTGCAAAGGGCCCACACAGCATGAGCAGTGGCTGCAGTTGGCCAAGGCTTCTCTTTCCCTGGCCGCCTTCATTCCCAGCTGGGCAGAGGCACAACAGGGCTACCCTGCTGGGCTGTCTGTGGGAGCAGGCTCCAGGAAAGGCTGAAGGGCTTTGGACTCAAATGCATTTACTGGTTCTGGATTTTCTTGGCCAGGCAGCTGGTTCTGGACTGTGGGGCCTGACTTGGGCTGTACCTCCTGCTTCTGGTTTGGCTGATACAAGTGGCTCCATGAGGAAACCCAGTTACCCTCATTAAATTCCGTACCTTCAAGAAGGAATCGTCTGACACAAAATTTCAATTAGGACTGGAGAAATGGGCAGGGTGGGAGAAGAAGCAGCATTTCTGGGGATGAGGGCTCTTAGTGGAACACATGCAACCATTAAAGATCTTAAACTCGGCACGGAGGCTAAACAAGAAGTCGTACCAAGCCTTGAAGCTGATCTTACTTCTGTCCAGAACCTAGAGCAGAGGAAGAGGAGCAGGAGGTAGGGGAGAGTCAAGCCTTATGACCAAGTGGCAAAGTTCACTTTAAAATTCTAAAGCTGTGCTTCAAGAAATGAAAGCAGAGCCCAGGCAACAAAACAAAACAAAAAAAAAAAAAAAACAAACAAACCACCCCAAAACCACAGAGCTTACTTGGGAAAAATCTGACTGGAAACCAGCAAAACCAAACACTTTAGGAGCTAAAGAAATTTAAAAGTAAACTCTCTATACCTTTTATTAATACATTACCAGTTCAAAGTCTGTAAAACCATTTGTAACCACCTGAAAGGAGCAAAGTATGAGGTAGAAACATACTGTGAGGCTGCTAAATAATGTCCTTGCCTCTGTACTGCTGCAGGATGAGATAGGGTGGCATCTGCATCCAGCCTTCTTGGAGCAATGGACTGAGGCCCTGTCCAGAGGGGGTATGAAAGGAAGACACAGAAGCTCAAAATGATAAATAAAACATTAAAAAAACTTCCCACAGGACACTGAAATTATTTCTGAAATTCCTGCTGCTCATGCTGCCAGTATCAACTCCAGTATTAAAACAACCATCTACTTTTCTGCTT